GTTTTACCTCAGAGTTATCTATATTGAGTTACTTCAGAAATTTCAACCCCAGATTTCACCTGACTTTTCCCCTCTGTGTTGAATAGAGTTGCCATTTCCCCAGAACCGCCATGGAAACCCCCAACTGTTATGGCTTCAGCCCGCCACTGGCTGGCAGGGGAAGCCCCACCCCCAAACAGGGACGTTGCCATACAACATCTACCTCCAACTGAGTCATGCCCTGACGGATCTGAAAATTTCATACATTCTCAAGGCCAATAGCCCATGGAAGGCTCTCCTAGAAATTACAGCTATCATGATTGTTGAATCATCAGTGATACCTATGAAATTTTGATACGTCACCAGAAGAAATGAATTGTTGAGAGACAGTACATGTCACACATCTTTGTTCAGAAGATTTATCATTGAAATGGCATTACATTCCGGAGACCACCGTCTACATTTACCATTATAACTGTTCACTCTTTGATATTGTATAATTTCGATTCTTAAAGAAATATCGTTTAGCGTCACATCGTCACAGTGTTTTTTGGTTTTTGATTGTCCTAAGACTGTGCCAATCAAAGAGAACACCTCCCCAAAATACGCAGGGAACTAATTATGGTTTTGCTCACCCCAGCAAAAGCAGTTATAGCCCAACACTGGAAGGATAAATCCCCCCCAACAAAAATGCAATAGTATAGTAAGGTGTGGGACTATTTTATGTTGGAAAAATATACAAGATACATCAATGGAGCAAGCACAGAATGTGATCTCTTTAATCCTTCATTGACAAAATGGCTAAAGACAGAGAGAACTGTGAAACCTGGTCACATTACAAATACTGCTCATTAATAAATTGTTATTATTTTATTTATTTATGTATTTATTTAGACATTTTTACCCCGCCCTCCCCGCAAGCGGGCTCAGGGCAGCTTACAAGGGGCAAATCTAAGTGGCTGTAAAAAGATTGTTAGATATTGTACACAATATAGTTGTAACTTATTGAAGAAAGTAAATCCCTGCTTATTGTTGAAAAGAATAACCACAAAATGTTCTGATTTTACCAAAAGATAGTTACAATTGAGAAGTCTATGAATATGGCTGATTGTATTCTACCCTTGATAACATATTGTAAAATGGTCATATATTGTACAACTCTGTATTTGTTAAAATAATAAAATGTTTTTTCAAAAAAGAGAGAGGAGGTTTTGGTACCAGAAGCCATATTTGGCCCACATACTATTTCATGCATGCTGATGCTGCAGGCACCCCACTTTGGAGCAATTGGACCAGGAAGCAGCATAAGCCCACTTGGAGGGCAGAGACCCCTGAATGTAGGGGTGTATGATATGTGGTTGTCCAAACCTCATTTTGTGTTGCAGAGAGCCTGCAGCCATACAGTAATACAGGCTTCTTGGTGACACTCCAAATAGAAGCTTGTGGTGCCAGAACCAGTGTTTGGACCAGGCACCACAGTATGCCTTCTTCCAGGGGACAGCTCTTTCAAGAGATATTTTGATGGGTGCAGCCTGTGTTACAAGGACACATATAACTTCGGGTAAAGAATTAATTACACAGTCTTTAAACTTTGACAGAGTATCCTAATTAAGACTTGTATTAAACTCAAGGCTTGGAAAATGCTGTGATTGAGATCCTGCTTTCGATGTGTGAGGGGGAGTGTCTTGTGCATATGTGTTTGTGGCACACAGAGTAATTGAAGAACATTTCTCAAACTCAGGCAATATAAGACCTGGAAGAATAGCCATTGCAGGGGGTGTTCTGCAGATTGGGTAATGCCTAATCCTGTACTGAACCTAGCTTCAGGAACACTTGAAAAAAGTCTTGAAATTCTAGTAGCTTCCCTTACAGGGAAGGACCTCCTCAGAATTATGGGAAACCACATGGCAGAGACCATTACTTATAACCTCTTTGGTATTAGAAACAAAGGACAGGGCTAGCAGAATTCTGAGGAAGCACATGGCAGAGACCATTGATGTACAAACATCCTTCATACTGAACAGCAGGGGTCATTTCGTAGAAAAAGAGCTAGGGGAACTCATTAGCATAACTCATTAGCATATGCCACACCCCCTGACATCAGGGGCCCGGCGGTGGACCTGCAAGGCCAGCGGGAGTGCGAGGAAGCCCTGCCAAGGCCCTCCCTGGCCCCAGGCAGGCAGGGGTGGGGAGAGGCGGGGAGGAAGCAACTTACCCTCCCTCTTCTCCTGCCTCCTCCTGGCTGAATGAGGGCTGGAAGCGGGGCGGCCGGAAGCAGGGGGCGGGGCTTCGTCATGTGCCCCGCCCCCTGCACCTCACCCGGGGGAACTGCGTTCCCCCACGTTCCCCCCCCCCCGAAATGACCTTTGCTGAACAGAGATCAGCTACTTGCTAGCCAGTCAAAAACTATACCTTCTAGGAGAGGCCACTGAAATCTAAAGTTATCAGGTGGAATCAGCACAATGTCTGAGGTCTTGACAAACCCCAGAAGAGAGAACTCACTGAGAGCAGTTCCATATGGCAAATAATAACAATATGTTGTAGGTCCACAGGTGAAACAAATGTGCAGTGTCTGGACCTCCATGAGTTGGATGCTGAGGGAGATCCATCCACCACGGAAGCTTTAAAATCTGTAGCTTGAGTGGAGATGAGATCCAAGCAAAGCCCATGGGTGGAAAGTGTAGTAGGTTCTGTGGCACAAAAGGGACTGAAGGAGGAGGGCTTTAAATGTTGTCAAGCTTCCTTTTCCTGAAAGACCTGAGATAATTTTGTGGTCAAAGAAAGACTTTCATGTAGTTATTCAGTGCAATGTTGTTGAAATGGAAGGTGGTATCAATGGCCACATACTTGCAGCTCTATTGCTACAGTGAAGTAACGAGAACTGACAACTGTAGGCCAAAAGTGACCATGACTGCTAAATTATAAGACTGACTTAATACATCTCACCTATTTCTCTGGTCGTATTTGGTCTACACAGCTACATACAACCTCTATGAGGAGACTAAGGAGTGGTCCACATCAAATGTGCTTTGTCCGCAGAAGCATTCCTGGTTGTCCAGAGCAATGATTCTCTGTCTGATCTGTAGCATGTGAATGGCAGCCACAGCACACTACTCAGAAGTCAACAGGGATGATATTTGAGCCTTGGTGGTCAGAGCAAAAAGTGATCTGCTGCCTACAAATTGAATCTGATCCAGAATATGTCCACCTGACCCACAACATGGTCACCTGCAAGCAATTTCTGTGGCCATAGCCCCTGTGATCGCAGGAATTACCAATGACATAAATGTTTAATGTGTGTGAACCAGATGGTGCAAGTGTGTATCCAATAAATGGACAGGTCCTTGGAAGTATGCATGTGGGGGGGGGGAACCCTACGTCTTTGTCGCTCTTAAGTGTTACTTAGAGAAATGACTTTCTGCAATCTGTTGACTGACCATATGTTTATTTTATTTATTTATGTTGTTTATAGTCTGCCTTTCTCTCAGGGATGCAAGGCAGATTGTCAGTTAGGAACAATTCACAACTACAGCCTGGCACAATCTTCAACAAACTTTTACTGATTGTTGTCCCAAGTATTCAGGCAGCCTGAAGGCTCTCTGAGCTGAGAGTGTGGGCTATATTTTACATGGTGGACATCCAAGCCAAATCTATAATTACATGTTCATGCAATTAATGATCTTTGGCAATTTAATAAGCAGATATATCCAAGATACAAACATTGCATATGTGGCTTTCCTACTAGGCTCTGGGGCTGCTGCTGGCCACTAAAACCCATCAACTGATGGGTTCAAAGTCCTATAAGTGTTGTTCCCCATTCATCAACCTACGAGGAGAATCTTTATAATCACTTTTTAGAATAGCCTTTTAAATCACATCAGAACACTGACAAGAACAAAAAGCTTTCTGAAAAGAAAAAGAAAAAGTGTTGCTCTAACAATGATGTTACCCCTGATAGGGAAATACTAGGAGAATACAAACTACAGCCCAGCAGAAATCTTGAGGGATTCCCTTTAAAACACCATCCAAGGGGAGGTTCAGCAGACTCTAATTGACTTTGGGAAGGGACAACTTTATTATGACTATGAAGCATCTCAGCAACTTCTCAGAAGTACTGACACCATTTCAGCACGGCTGACAAGCAAGGCCACTTCCTAAGATTAGGATGCTTCAAATGTTTTGCACACTGGATTAAAAGAATACACATTTGTTTATTTTGAACTGCTTACATCCTGCTTTTCCCTGGAAGGGCCTGAAGCACACTCGCAGAAAGAAATACCCAACTATATTAAGAACTGGGCCATTCTGAAGCCATCTGGATAAAAGCTGCCTGAGTGACATCTCCTTACTCTCTCCCCCAGCCTGTAATACCAGAGGAGTGGCTGTGTTAGCCTATGGCAACAAAGAGGATTCTCTAGTGGCACCTTAAAGACTAACAAGATTGTATTCCCAGCATAAACATTCATGGATGGGGAGCCTGCTTCTTCAGCTGCAGCCTAGCATGTGAAAGTTGATACTGGAATACAATTGTGTCTGTCTTTCAGTCCAGCTATGTTAATCTGTCTCGACAAATCCAAACAAGAGCCTTGTGGCACCTTAAAAGACAGACAAAATTTGATCCCAAGGTCAGCCTTTGTGGTCCAGATACATGGAGCAGGTCCCCACTAAGCAGTTATGTAGGAGAATGGGGGTACAACGTAGTTGCCCGGCTTCCAAACATCCCCAGTTATCTCCCTCCGCACATCCCCCTCCCAACTCAGAAAGACTTTGCATCCTTGTAGCCATAAAATGAATGGACAAGGAGGGCCCAATGCATAGCTGAAAGCTATGTCTGCTTGTGTGAAAACCCCAGATGCACGGGGATGCGGCTGTGGTTATCTGCGAGGGGGCAGGGTAAACGAGAGGGGCTCTGCACATGCTCAGAGTTTAACCCTTTCACACCTGGCTGTCATTCAGTCCCCGCCGCTGGAAAGAGCTGCCTGGTCTGCCTACACCCGCCGCCGCCTCCGGCGGCTACTCACCTTCCCCGCGGGACGAGGGTGGCTGGAGCTTGTGCCATTTCAAGACCTCCCCGTATAAGGTGACCTGCCAGGAACATTGATCCAGCACCAGCGAAGAGCTGAGCCGGCTCCCGTCCCCCATCGCCCCTTCAGTGGCCGGTTTCCTCGGCTAAGGTGCCATGATGATGGAAGGGGAGGGGGAGCGGCTGGCGGCCAGCCGCAAGAGATGGTCGAGCCCGGCAAGCGCGTCTCTGCGTGTGATGGCAAAGAATCGGTTATCCTTCAGAATTTGCTCCTCCGCTATCTAGGGCGCATGCGCGTTCCGAGGTTTGCGCACGCTCGCCCGCCCCGGCCGAAGTCTCCGCTGCCCTTCCCTTGTTGCCCTCACTGTTTCTTCTCTGTTTTGTTGTGCCGGCAGAGGAGGAAGGAAGGGGGGGGGGGGGGAGGAAGGGGGAGGACCTGGCGAGTGCAAGCTCTGCGCGAAGAGGGATCTGAAATGAATTTCTGGAGGGAAGGGGATAAAGTTACCTCAGGAGAGAAAGAAGCAGAAGGCATAATTAAAAGCAAACACACGCACAGGTAACGTCTTACGAGAATCTTTCCCGAAGAGCTCACAATAACTTTGATAGTAATAATATTCCTGGAGTGGGAACAGATCCTTGCTGGAGCGTTACCACCATATTCTGTGTGTGGCATTTGGGCAAGGCGAAACGAAGGAGCAGGAGCGATGTTTTTCTTGGAAGGCATGAATATTCACACACAGTGAAGCCTGGAGATGGAAGATAGTAATATTATTTATTTAAGACACTTGCTTCAAGGAGTTCACAGCAGTAAACATGACTTTCCCTCTCTCCGTTTTATCCTTACAAGCACCTTGTGAAGTCGGTTAGGCTGAAAACCTATGACTGGACCCATGACATCCCACAAACTCCCATGCCATGTCACAGAGGTATTTGTGATAATAAATTTTGTTCATACTGGATTCTTGGCTGCTTAGAACACTTTTTCTTTTTTTTGGGGGGGGGGGGATGGAGCAAAAATGAAATAAATACAAGAAATAGGCGTGCCAGCTCTGGACTGTGGGATTCCTGGAGATTTTGGGGGTAGAGCCTGGGAAGGTCAGGGTTTGGGGAGGGGAGAGACCTCAGTGGATTATAATACCATAGAGTCCACCTTCCAAAGCTGCTATTTTTTCCAGAACTGATCTCTTTTAGCTGGATATCAGTTTCAGGAGATTTCCAGCCATGACCTGGAGACTGGCAACCCTAACAAGAAAGTGTGCTTTTGCTTCTGTTTCTCACTGCTTGAAACAAACTTTTGGAGTAAAGGCGACTCAACATGCCTGGGCACTATAGAGTGCTCAATTTCACTTTGTCCTAGTATAATGTACTGGGTTCAGACGCGTTAGCAAGTGATCAGCTCATATTTATTAGTAAAATTCAGCTCTAGTGTTTTACTAAATAGCCGGGTTCGAACCTGCTTTTATCCGTGCAGCACACAACACCCAGTACACACCCCACTCCTGTAATTGGCTATTTACAGTGTAAGAGTCCATCATAGGCAAACCTGTTGGTCCGCACTAGGATCCGAGTCAGCTATTGTTCTAAATCCTGAAGGTGCGCTAGACCGCATGGCTTCCTTAGCGCTACATGTCCAGACATGTCCATATCAGTACATAACACCTAGAATCATGTATGATAGTGTGAGATGCCTATTCAGCTATGCTGGGAGCTTCTCTCTGGCTCCTTTCTGTGCCTTTGTTATCTCTCTCCCCTTGTGGTCTTGCACGAGGCAAAAAGATTCTGCAGTGCTCTCCTGTGCAAACATGTGTTGCTGGATTAGGGAATAGTATTATTTAGATTAGGCTTCTGTTTCTTCTACTACAAATTATAGGTGAATACCTCTGTGTGTGTGTGTGTGTGTGTGTTAAGTGCCAAGTCACTTCTGAGTCATGGTGACCCTATGAATTAGGTAAAGGTAAAGGTTCCCTTGCTCGAAAGCCAGTCGAGTCCGACTCTAGGGTTGCGGTGCTCATCTCCGTTTCAAAGCCGAAGAGCCAGCGCTGTCCGAAGACGTTTCCGTGGTCATGTGGCCAGCATGACTAAACACCAAGGCGCACAGAACGTTGTTACCTTCCCACCGAAGTGGTACCTATTTATCTACTTGCAATTTCTTGCTTTCGAACTGCTAGGTTGGCAGGAGCTGGAACTAGAGACAGGAGCTCACTCCGTCATGTGGCAACTCAGGTCTCGAACTGCTGAACTACTGACCTTCCATAGCCTGCAGTTCAGCGTCTTAACCACTTGAGCCACCACAGCTCAAAAAAAAAAAAAAAGCCCTATGAATTAACGCCCTCCCAAAAGTCCTATTGTTAACAGCCTTTCTCAGGTCTTGCAAACTGCGGCTTCCTTGATTGAGTCAATCAGTTTTGTGTTGGGTCTTCCTCTTTTCTTGTTGCCTAGAACTTTCCCTAGCATTATGGTCTTTTCCAGTGAGCATGATAAAAAGTAGAGACATCACCCTGCCAACAAAAGTCCACATGGTCAAAGCAATGGTATTCCCAGTAGTCATCTATGGCTGCGAGAGTTGGACTATAAGGAAGGCCAAGCACCGAAGAATAGATTCTTTTGAACTATGGTGCTGGAAAAGACTCTTGAGAGTCCCCTTGGACTGCCAGAAGATCAAATCAGTCAATCCTAAAAGAAATCAACCCTGACTGTTCCCTGGAAGGCCAGATAATGAAACTGAAGCTCAAATACTTTGGCCACCAAATGTGAAGGGAGCACTCACTGGAGAAGACCCTGATGCTGGGAAAGACTGAAGGTCAAAGAAGACGGGGACGGCAAAGGATGAGATGGTTAGACAGTGTCATCGATGCAACGAACATGAAATTGAGCCAACTTCAGAGGACGGTGGAAGACAGGAAGGCCTGGCGGGATTTGGTCCATGGGGTCGCAAAGAGTCGGACTTGACTGTGCGACTGAACAACAACAACAAAATGTGATAAAAGTAGGGTAGCTTCAGTTTAGACATTTCAAAGTTCAGGTGTGTTTTGATCTAGAACCCACTTCTCTTTCTGGTAATCCATAGTATCCATTTTTCAAAAATAACATTTTTATTGAGTATATAATTCATATTTCATAATAATAATTCATATCCTTGTACATTATACTCCTTTTATTTATTTATTTATTTATTTTTATTTATTTTCCTTACATTTATACCCCGCCCTTCCTGCAAGCGGGCTCAGGGCGGCTTTTTCATAATTTAAACATGTGCAACGCAATAATGAGGTTACATTCCAACTATATAACTAACAGATGAGATTTAAGCCCAGTCCAGTTTATAACCTCATCTTTTCCTATTCCCTTATCCTACCCGCATATGAAACCACAGTACAGCTCCCTCTAAATAGCATTTTTCCTTAATACAGTCTTTAAATCTTCCAATGTTATTACGCATTCTTCTGACTTCTTTTCTGTTCATTCTATCATTATTGTTTTTCTATCTATTTCTATACCTAAAAAGAAAAAAGAAAGCTGGACAGGGTTGCCTCTGGTACTGGTGCTGAAGAGGAGACCCCTTCAGCAGGTGGATATCCTCTTCCCTGTTAACAAAGGTATTAGGGGGAGCACACCCTTCATCTCCTTGTTGTGCCCACTAGCTATGACTACTTCTGTATACTTTTACTAAATACTTCCCGCTTAAAACACAGTTCTAAATACCGTGTATATATAATTGCTATCAACATAATCTATTATACTATTTGCCAAAACAAACTATCTCCTATTAAACGCCTCCATCTATTGATTTGGTCAGTTCCTCCAGAAGCCTCTTGCCAGTGATCTCATTATAGGCTGTAAGAGTTTTGCCATTTAAGTTGGCCACTAGGTTTCCACTTTCAATGCGCTTTCCAACTGGATTTTGCCAGTTCACACAGTAAAATCCAGTTGGAAAGTGCACTGAAAGTGGATTGAAAGTGGATTATTTAGTGCATGTGACCGCAGCCTGTGTTTCATCACAGCGTACTGTGATTTTGGTCACCAATATCCCTATATTACTTCTGGGAAAACTTGGAAATGACAATTGCCAGAAACTCTACTGATAAGGAGGCTGGCAATTTTTTTCTTTATCTTTCTACTGCCACCAATCTGAGCAGCAACAGGAAACAGAACTTTGCCAAATACCAGGAGAATGGGAGCCTTCTTGACCTCAACATTCCTTAAGGGGAGAGTCACAACAGAGAATGCAGGAATGGTTTTTGATATTGCCCACACCTAGCAGTTCTGGGATGAAAGTGGAAAAGCCTGGATGGATTTCTATCAGCTGTGTTGTAAACTAGGCCATCCTAAATATTCCCTTGGATCTGATACATCATTAAAGCAAATAGTAAGGTTTAAACTGGCTTTTAATGGTCCAAAAAGTGTATTTGTTGTAGCAGATTAATGGACTTTCTCAGCCCACTCATACTTTCCATTTAAAAAGCACTGCTGAAGTCAGTTTGAAGTTTCCTACAAGAGAGTGAAATCATTACTTCAACAGTCTCTAAATCCAAGTGCTTAAGTGACTTCCTCCAGTTCACTGGTGTGACTTTCTTTAAAACGTCATCAGTAAACATATATATTTTTTAATGGTTCCCCCTTAGCTCTGAAGTTTATTACAGAGGGATGATTACTAGATACCCATGTCATAGCTAACTCCTCTTCCTCAGCACTTTCAGATTAGTTTTACAGTACCAGATATTGACAATATTTGCGAGAAAATGAGCTGCTTGTCCCATTCTTTTTTTAATGCTTGTAATTTAATTCTGTCAGTGTGTAGTTGTTTTTAAGTGCTAAATGAGTTCCTTCCAAATTTCAACAGCATCAGCAATAAAACAACTATTTTTCTGATAATTGCAACCATGTGTTATTAGCGTTGTATTCCCTTCCTGCTCTTCTAAATTTCTTCTCATCTTGGATACATTTGCAGCATTTTTGTTCACATGTTGTTATAGCTTTTGCTGCCACTTCTTGTAACTGTTCTGCTGTGTGTGCATTTCCTGACGTATCGATTGTTTCTGCAAGGAAGATATTCCCTTCTTCTGTTGTTATTCGAGCACATACAACAGGATCACTGTGGATATTACTCCACCCATCAAGACTTAGGTTAACAATTTTACCCTCTAAAGCTGTTGCACATTGCTCCATTTCTCTGTCATACACTTTATCCAGCAGTTTCCCTGCAACATCTGCTCTGCTGGGTGGACTGTATCCTGGTCTCAGTGACTG